CTCCACCTAACCGCGGTCGTGGTCTCTTTTCATTCTATTCAATCAAACAATCAATCAAAAAGTGAAATACAAAGGTGAAAACTTTGCCTTTCGTTTTGGCTAAAGCTCGATTTCTCTCACGGCTGATTTTAAATAAATTCAAAATTCTTTAGACATTAACTATAAAAACCAATATTATGTACACAGGCAATTACAGTGTAAGTTATCTTTTTTATGCTTAGTGATCATGATTGATATTTATTCTGTCACTTGAAATATAATTAAATATATAACCTAATGTTTAAAAGAAGGCGATTGGGAAAGAGGAAATAAGGAAATTCCATGTCACTAATTCAGGGTCTAATTTAGTATACTGTTAGTACTATTAGTTAATACTATTGGGAATGGGAAGATAGTAATTAAAGAACACATTTTTTTTAACCAACGCTGATACCAAAGCCACCTGCGAGATTCAATCAGCATCCCCTACCACGGTATTCGATCATATCAAAACTTAAAAATTAAGGGTAAATAAGACATGAAAGAAATCAGGATATCTTAAACTTACCTGCATAGTTGGTTTGCAAGAGTAAAGATAAAAAGATGAGGAATTGATAGATTGATGGCCGGAAAGGCGTCTTGGAATTCATTGGATCAGTAAATGGCTCAATCTTATATTCTACGTAAAACTATTTCGATGATCTTGTGCTGTCATATGTGATAAATTCAGATTTGTGCTCTATTTACTAAATAACTAATATACGTATACTTATTTTAAGCCTGGAATCAAGATAAAACTGATGTATAGTCCCTGAAACTGAAAAAATATGGGCGTGAAAATGTTCGATTTCTTGGAAGCGCTGCTTTTCTTGGAAACGACAAAACTTCTAGTACTTCGGATGATCAATTTTCCAAATATCAGTAATGTATATGTATGGCTCACTCGTCAACTGGGGAAGGGGGTGGGGGTGGAGATATAGAGGATATTATATGGGCGCACGGAGATACGAATTTTATCTTTTGAGAATATCTCTCAGGAGAAGATAAAATTTGTATCTCAAAGCGCCCATGTAATGTTCAACAGTTTCTTGAAAAATCACTGTCTTGAATTAACCTTGCTAAAAACAAACGAGAAAAATATAGTTGACGCTGATCATCAATGATCAAGGTTACTCTTATTTTATTCCCTATAATAGTCATTCCAACCATCCATCCAAACTAAAAATTAAACGTCCTCAATTCAGAGTTTATTATAAATGATTGGTTCGATGCAAATAATTTCGTCTTTTGAAAATGATAAGTGCATTTGTCTGTTAATGATTCAGCGCTCAAACAAACGCACGAGACAAAGTATCTTGGCGGTGTTCTCTCTGATAGAATCCTGTCGCATATATATAATATTAAAAGAAAATATTAGCAAATCTTAGTATGTTAAAGAAGCCCTTCTTGGATCGTAACTCTGTAATTACGATATATAGACAAAAATTTCATAACTAGTAGTGTTCGTATGCCATTATATAAAACTATCTGTGCATTTCGGGAGTGAACTATTCTTAGCTATGACAAATATGTTAAAGCGATTAATGGATTGGTGGACATAGAGAATGATGTGCTACCGTCAACAAGGGATACAGGCAGAACAAGGGCCGCATCAAGCAACAACAGAGCAGTGACATTCACTCAGAATCGATGCAGAACGACCACGTAAAAAACGCTCTTTCTTCATTAGAGTATGCAGGACGTAGAACGCCCTACCGGAAAATCTAAGAAATAAGAATGTTTCTCTTTCCATCTACAAGAAATCTCTTGTAGACTACTATCGTCGCGCTCTGCACCTCGTCTATGACCAGGA